GAGATAATACAGGATGCACTCAAAAGGATTTGCAGGAGTGGCTTGCAGAAAAGCATCATATAAAGGTTAGTCAAGGTACAATTTCAAACACACTCAAACGATCAGCTGAATATCTTTCTACTAACTTGGAAACGGGAAGAGATATCAAACGGCATAAACCAGCAAAATTTCCAGAGATGGAAAAAGTTCTTTTTGAGTGGTTTCTACAATACCAAGAACGTGTGAATATGTCTGGAGAGCTAATTCTGGAGAAGGCAAAAGAGACAATGAAACTTCTATACCCTGAACAAGACCAGGAGCGCCAATTTTCTCAAGGCTGGCTTGAAAAATTCAAGTTACGACATGGCATCAAGTCTTTTTGTCGATTTGGAGAGAGTGGTTCTGTTGATGTACAAGATATGGAGAAGAAACTTGAAGTTATAAGGGAAAAATAGATAAATTTCCTATGAAAGATGTTTTTAATATGGATGAAACTGGTTTATTTTATATATTACAAGCTGATCATTCTCTTGCAACAAAACAACTTGAAGGAAAAAACCAAGACAAAGAAAGGCTGACGGTTGTTATTTGCTGCAATGAAGATGGGTCTGAAAAGATTCTTTTATGGATTATTGGAAAATTTGCAAAGCCACGTTGTTTTAAGAATGTCAACATGGATAACTTAAATTGTCACTACCGTGCCAACAAAAGAGCTTGGATGACAAGTGTGATTTTTGAAGAATATATCCGCTGGTTTGATAAGAGAATGCATGGTAGAAGAGTTTTGTTTGTGGTAGATAATTGTCCAGCACATCCAAAAAATATTGAAGGGTTGCAGAATGTTGAGTTGTTCTTCTTGCCTCCAAATATGACATCAAAAATTTAACCTTGTGATGCTGGAATAATAAGAGCTTTTAAGATGCATTATCGCAGGAGGTTTTACCGTGAGATTTTAGAAGGCTATGAGTTGGGGCAATCTGATCCAGGTAAGATCAATGTATGCTATCAATTTTGCTGTTTCGGCTTGGACTATTAATGTTAATCAACAGACAATAGCAAATTGTTTTCGACACTGCAAAATTCGTTCAACAGATGACATACCGATGAATTTGGAAGATGAGTCAAACAGCATTCATGACCTTGAAGTTGTGATTAATAATCTCAACTATCAGAACAAAATGGACATCAACAGCATACTCAACTATCCCGGTGAAAGTGATATATGTTCAGAAATTCAGAGTTTAGAAGAAATTGTGGCTACTGTTCTTAGTGTTGATGATGAAGTTGAAGATGATAATGTGGAACCTTTGGTAGTAGTTACGCGCCAAGAAGCACTTATGGCTTCTAGAGTTCTTCACAATTTTTGGATGCAAAACGAGAAGACAAATACCAGGAATTGTTGATGCAACAAGGAAGATTAGAGATGAACTCCAGAGAGAATCCAATTTTAAGAAAACACAAACAACAATAGATTCATATTTTACTAGATTGTCTTAGCTATATATGCATATATTTATATATACTTAGATTTATAATTATTAATTTATGATTTTATGGGGACCATATTTTTACATAGGACTTTCAAAAAAATTATTATCTTATTATCTTATCAAATTTTGTTAATTTTTACACTGGCCCGAATTGGACCAACAAAATTTATTAATTTATAGTGATTATTAATTTATCGAGTATTAATTTATAGAAGTTCTACTGTAGTAATAAGTGAAGCGATTACAAAGAAAGGGATAACCGTGAGGTTATGCCGAAGTAAAAAAGGTGTTTGCGAAGTAAACTAGAAAGCGTTGGAGTTTCTGGTTTTAGCTATGTTGCTCTCTAGAATGTATTGGATGATCATCTTGACTTCAAGGTCCTCTTTATTTATAAGGATGGGAGGTCGATTGCTCCGAACTCCTTTTTCCTTTTTGTCTTTGTGTATATTTTCATATTATAGATATGGAAATATCCTTATTCTCCGAGGAATAAGAAAATTCTCATTTATCCTTTGAATTAATCCGATGTTTCCGATCTTTCGGGAGAAGATCCCATAGAAAATGTGTTCATTTCTCCTCTAACATAAACTATTTATCTAAATCAAAAACAAAACAAAACATAAACTCTTTATGAAGTTACTTACTTTTGAATTTATATTTATGAAAAATATGTAATATTTGTATGTACATCAATGGCTTATCAAAAATATATATTTAGTTATGCTAAGTTGAAGTCTAGAGTTAATAAATTATAATGTTAAACAACATAATAAAATTATTCATGTGATATAACGTGCACTCCACAATGGCACAAATTTTAGTTCGTGATCTCCGCCTACAACTATTAATTAGACAATAATGAATGTGGAATGGATGTTTTTTTCACAATATCTTGAGGTTTCTATTGTTTTTTCGGTGTTTCCGGATGGCTTATTTTTCCTGAGAGTACATCACTTTCTCTTTGAAATTAATGCATTCACATGTACTGTATTAATCTTACTATCTTAGGTAATGGTTTGGTTAATGCGATCGAGTACAGACAGAAAAATGTAGAATGTGTAAAACTAATATCTAATCTATATCAAAATAAAGTTAGAACACAGAAACATGTTTTAATGTTTTATCTAAGAGAAATCAATCACATTTGTAAATTCACATGACCTTTTAGTTTAAGTTCCTACAATACCGCTTTCTATGTTCTGTTTTCCTAATCTACCAATTTTTCAACACTCTCAACATTACCACAATGTTGCAGTCATAGGAAATTATCTAAAAGTTCTTAGAAATGTATCTAAAAGTTTTTAAGAAAGGTATCTAAAAAGTTAGAAGAGGTCTTTTAATTTTCGATTTTGATTTTTAAAAAAGTAGTATATTTCTTTTCATCTAAATTTGTTTGTTTTTTTTTTATATTCAAGAAAGAATACTATATCCTTAGTTTCATATAAACACATCTAAACCCATAGGCGACCATTTGGTGAATTTTCATATAATTTATAGTTTCTTAAGTTAAATCTTAATACTTATACATTTTTAATTTTATTTTTATATAAATTTATTTTTATTTTTACATTTTAAATCATTTTAATTAATTATGGATTTCTCAACCTTCATCTAGTAAAACCATCAACTACTCCACGATCTCTGTAATTTCAAAATAAAAATCACCGTATTCCTTCCAATAGATGATAAATAATAAAAAAAAAAAAGAGAACAACTCAATTCATTTTATTGTTTTTGCTGCAAAAATATACAAAAAGTTTTTACAATTTTCTTTTCTCAAACCAATAAGTTAGCCTACTAAACTCTTTAGATAAGATGACGATGAAGCACATAGGTAGTAGTTTTAACGATCAGACTCTTTCAAATGCTCGACCAAATGGAAACAAACTCATCCAAACTTTAAAATTCAAACAAAATAATTTTTTAATAAAATTAATATTTGACACATTTGATTTATTTTTAAAATTACGTTTTTCCAGTACGGGACAAATACTAGTATTTGATAATCTTACAAAAATCTAGGTTACTAATATAACAAGAGAATTTAGATACAAAAAAACTTAATATCCAAATTTCTCGGTAGTTCAAGTAATGGAAATTATATATATTAATATAAATATATATTTTCTCTGTTTCATAATAAGTGTCATTTGTAGAAAATGTATCTGCATTATAACTGAATGTGTTTTGAGTTTAATACATCTAGATATATTTTCTCCAAATGACACTTACTATGAAACAGAGGAAGTATATGCTAATAATTTATATATATATATATATATAAATGAAAATGTAGGATTTAAAAAAACTTTTATAATCACAAATTATTTGGAATGGTTAATATGGTCAATTTTTGCCAACCCAATTTGAATGGGTACTGTAACCACTTTTGTACTCCGCGGCTAACAAACCGTGTTTGCTTTTCTGCCTCTTAGCTGTATCATGTATGTATCTCAATCTTTATATACTTTTTATTTAACTTATGCGTATTATCTTACTCGTGCGCACGTAATTGATTGTAGTTTTATATAAAAAGAGTAATTGATTTGTTTTATTGATTGATCATTCCTACTCTCTTATAAAAATATTTTCAACCTTATACATAAATAACTAATTATTGAAACGTAATAAATACATTTCCTAAAAAATATACATCTTTCAGTTTCACTACATAACATCTTAAATAATCAATACTATTTGTTTGACTAGTAAAAAACTAAAATAGGCAGCTAATTTGTTGTAGTGTAGTTAATATTCTAAACTACATAAATTGTTTTGAGATTTGTATTCTAAACTACAATATTCTAAACTACATATTTCATATTAATCAGGTTGTAATTAATATTCTAAACTACATATTTCATATTAATGGATTTGTAATTAATATTCTAAACTACATATTTCAAATTAACGACTTTGTAATTAATGTTCTAAACTTTATATTTCATATTAACTAAATTATAATCTCACGTTTGCACAAAATAAATATTTTTTACAATAATTTATAATTTTAAATGTGAAATGAACATTGTAATTAATTTTTTTACTGTAAAAAATATGAAATGAGAAGTAAAAACTGTGAAGTGTAGTATAATAATTTTATGGTTTTGGTGTTTATTTTTTATTTTTATAAAGAGAAAATGTATTTATATAAATCAAAGTTCGAGATATATTGATAGTGTTTTGGGTATAAAACATAAAAGATTAATAACTTTGAATTTTATATTTTTGTAAATGCAAATACGTTTTTTAGATGTAAAAAGATTACTTAATTAAAATTTTAAAACATTTCAAATCAAATACTAGTATTTTATACCATCAACTAATTTTCAAAAATAACTAATAAAATTTAATATCAATAGTTTCATGAAGCTTTTGTGGGAATAAAGAAAATATGATAATTACAAATTTGAATGTTTGGTAATGTAGATACAATTAATTAAAGATTAATCTGGATTATGAAATATAATGTTTGGTAATTAATTTAGTATAATAACTTAGAAAAAAAATTAAAGAAAAAACTTAGAATTAATGAGGTGATAATATCTAAATAAAATTAATTTTTGATGTTTTTTTAATTTATATTAGATCTATTTGTATTTTTAAAATTCGTAAAATTTATGTATTCACGTTTATTTTGTAAGTACATAATTTTTTGAGATACTCTGTTCTATATTAACATAATATTTTACTCTAATTAGAAGAATACTCCCTATTGGTAAAAAATGGTAGATATTATTATTTTATATAAAATTGGAGGTCTAATAAAATAATGGCTCTTGGACAGATTCAACATTAATCACGTCTTGATTTTCTGCTAAATACAAATAATTTTTCCAATTAAAATGATTCTAAACCAGTGGATTTCACGCCCTGTATGAGCAACGCGTGCGATTTTCTTTTCCTTCTCTACGCGGTATCGCCAGCTTAAATATTTGCAATTATTTTTCATAGAAACGCTTCTCTGTATTAAACAGTCTTGTGCGTTTTCTTCTATTTCAATTTCAGTTTCGATATCTTCTTCTTCTTCACTCGTTTCACATTTTTCGCAGTTACCAATCTCTCTTGCTCGCTCTAATGGCTGAACGAGTCCATCCCGACGACTCATCACCTGAGAGCGGTCAATTTTCCGGAAATTTCAGCTCCGGCGAGTTCCCGAGAAAACCAGCTCCTCCACCAGCGACTTACGTGATCAAAGTCCCAAAAGATCAGATCTACTATGTTCCGCCGCCGGAAAGAGAACATCTCATCCAACGCCTCTCTCGCAAGAAAGTCAATCGCAGTCGCTTCAGGTGCTGTCTCTGCTCATTCCTCGCCACGATTTTCATCGTCATCGTCCTCGCCGGAATATCTTTAGCGACTCTCTACCTCGTCTTCCGTCCCGAATCTTCGAAATACTCCGTCGAAGGATTCTCGGTCTCTGGGATCAATTTGACGTCGTCGTCTCCGATTTCTCCCAAATTCAACGTCACCGTTAAGTCACGTAACGGTAACGGAAAAATCGGGATCTATTACGAGAAGGGAAGCACGGTGGATGTTTACTACAACGATGTCGATCTTTGTAATGGCGCTTTGCCGACGTTTTATCAGCCGGCGATGAATGTAACGGTGATTAAGACGGCGTTAACGGGATCGAGAATCCAGTTAACTAGTGCTATGCGAAAGGAAATGCGTGATGAGCTGAGTAAGAAAACGATGCCGTTTAAACTGAAGATTAAAGCGCCTGTCAAGATTAAGGTTGGTTCCGTTAAGACGTGGACGATAACTGTTAAAGTTAACTGCGATGTAACGGTGGATAAATTGACGGCGCCGTCGAGTATTGTGTCGGGAAAATGCAGCCATGACGTAGACATATGGTGATAAACGTTTCTCTGCTTTATTTTTATTTTTTTGCTTTTAATTTGAAAAAAAGGAATCAACAGAAGAAAAAAGAAGACTAGAGACTCTTTGGATTGTAGGATTATCGATTCTTTTTGGTTACTGATTTGCGTTTTATTTTTGGATGTTTATTTTTGATAAATCATATAACATTGTGCATTTTGCGATTGGACGAAAAATATTTTTCAAATGTGGGAAATTCCAATTTGAACTTATTTTATGTGCGTTGAAAACTTCATTTTTGTACGGTTCAAGCTCCAATTAAAATGTAGAGAGAGATACATTAAAGCGTTGTTCATTAATAAAAAGAAAACCGATGCTTAGCTATGTTATGGAAGGAGTCAAACAGATTTATTATAATTGACAATTTCGCACTCAGAATTTTTGTCACCATACAATAATGATAAGTGGTCAAGATCAACATGTCAGGAAGATGCAAGGGCGAATCTAGAGCATATTTATTAATGGGGGCACCTTTTAACAAATACAAAGATAATAAGCATAAAGTAGAAAAATCAATGGGTGCATTGATATATTTTGGCTTAAATTTTGTCAAAATTTAAAAAATAATGGGTGCAGCACCCATAGTGATGTAAGTGCTTCGCCCCTGGGAGCGTGATATATGATCGAATGAAGAATAGTGGAAAGATTCAATTTGTTTCATTGAAAAAACTTGCAATTACCGAAGGTAAAGGAGAAGGAAGGATTGACCAAGTTTAGGCAGCGATTGGTTCAACCTTAATAATCAAACTCTAAATTTCAAAACATTGGTTATAACTTTTGATTGAAATGATTTACAAATTTCAGGTGATAAAGATAATTTCAAATACTTCGTGATTTTTTTGTGTGTGTGTTTTGAACAGATAGAATATATGAGATAGAAAAAAATAAAATTATTTATGTATGTCTCGTAGTACTTTAAGTATAATGCGAAACCAGCCATTTTTCTTCTTTAGAGATTATCTTTATTAGTTCCAGATTGTTTGGGACGAATGCTACCACCAATTTCTTTGTATCGAGCATTCAATGCATATCACGTATCAATGTTTTTAGCTTTTCAATAAAAAAAAAAAAAGTTTTTAGCTTTTGAGTGTAATGGAAAAGTGCTTTGTCGTATATTTCTTATTCCCATTATTGTTTTATCTGTGCCAATCTTTTAGTAATACCATCCGAACCCAGCATTCACCTTGCTTCCTTCCAAAAACTATGTGTAACATGTTAATCCATCCTAATCCAACATTCAAAGAAAAATATTTACCATAGACATTTCTCTATTTTTTTTTATTTCAAGTAAGAAAACTCAGAAAATCAACAGTAAAATCAAATCAAATTAGAACAAAAAGTTTTTTTTTTAGTAGTGTACAAAAACATAAAGACGAATAAGTAAAATAGATAACTTAGTTAGAATTAAAAACTTAAAGTGATAATAGATGCAAGCTTCTAATTAAAAGTAGACAGATCTAGGTTTGATTAGTTGTTGTTATAGATACTGTGCACAGCAATATTTATGTTTACAGCTTTAAATCATACTTTATAAACTTTTCTTTTTTTAGAGCATGTAATTTTATGTTTTCCTAATTTTATAATTCTATAGCCAAAATTTTAAAGAAATATATTCTATAGTTACACTAAAACACTTACAGCCATATTTTTACAACAAAAACGTAAAACTATAACTATTATCAATCAGACTAATTGTTGTGAAAGGAGATAAATCTTTTTATCTGAAAAAATAAGAAATAATTATTAAGAGAAGAAATGAAACGTTTGGAAATTTTTAAAAAGGTTTGCTCATAAATCCTTTAAAAGAATTAATGTTGCCACCAATATAGCCCCTTTTTCATTGGCCTTGGGGGCATTGCCTTTTTTGTTCCCCTATCTAAGCTGGTTTTGTATGTATTACAAAACTACTTAAGTGTTTGAAAGCGTTCTTATCTAAACTACATAGAATTGTAAGTGAGTACGTGGCAAAATTGTATGGAAACGGAAAAGTGATCTTAAAAAAAAAAATTAGGAAGCATGTATGTATTGGAATCATATATATACATATATATATATATAACTAAACATTATACTATACTAATTAATAGTTATAAATAATTCAAATTTAATCTATCTATTTTTACACAATTCAACATAATTAAAATAAAAATCCAAAACTCCATATTATTCTCAATTTTGTAACTTTGTCAAATAAAATTATTTAAATTATTTATTGTTCATTGATAACAAGATTTTTATGTAAACAGAGATTATTATCAAAGCTCAAGCAACTTATGGATGTAGTATAGTATGTAAGAAGTATTAATCCAACCTAGGAAGCAGGAAGAACACTAAGAATGCAAGGATGAAACAAATCTAAGCAAATCGGAAAAATGATTGGTAAAATCGAAGAAAACTAAATGCAACAACTAAATAAGATGCAAAACTATTTTAAAATCCCTGGAAGAGGGTTAACTAACACTGAAAGAAAACAGAGCAACAAAATAACAAATCTACTAAGAACTAAAAATCGAGCACTGAATCGAGTAAGACAGACCGATCTAGCAACTTAAAGCAAAACGACTTCTAATGAACAAGATGTAAGCTTAAAGATAAGAGAATGATGAACAGAAGTTTTAAAATGCTAAAAGAGGGTTTAGGATCGAGGGTCATATTTAAGAGTGTCAAAGGTTTAAGCTTTGGTTTGAAAACATATAGATGTACTCATTTTTGAGCTTTCTCTAAGCTTTGAAAACAAAACAAGAACCATCCATGACGTGTGGTATGATTCACTTCCTCAATCTCTTCTCCAAACCCATGGCGTTTGGTGGAAAAAGAGATCAAAGAGCAGGAAAAACAGATTTTAATCTATGGCCTAACTAATCTCCTCTACATCCATGGCGTTTGGGAGAGGGTCGATTAGTCTCTAGGACTTGGCTTTCTAGGATATTTGAATCCGGTCAGGGTAAGATAGCCTTGGAATCATAGAGATCTCTTTCAAGACTCTCTAAGCCTTAAGACCCCAAGATCCTAGAAGAAAAGGAATGAAGAACAAGAAAAACACAAAACTTAAACCTCTTAAACCCTTTGAATCACCTCAACCTCAAATCCCAAAAGAAAACTACTCACTACTCATCTTTGAAACCGAATGAAATGCAATAAACAAAGAACTAAGTATAATTAAAGAGCGATTAAGGAAAAACTGCTTAATATTCAAGGATTCAAAGGTTAAAACATGAAAAAGCTTAAAGATGTAACAATGGCGGAAATCGCCTACAAGAAAGCTAAAAAGATAAGACAGAATGTGGGTAATGAAAAGGATGGCTGTCCTTTGCCAAAAATAGCCAAACCGCTAATGGTCCCCTCACTAGATGCCAAAAACTGTTAAGGCCGTAGAGATCGATCTTGAGATCGATCAGCTTGCTCGATCGTCTTCAGGGATCGCTGTCTTCTACTCGATCTTCGAATCGATCTGGTTGGATGGATCGAGTACCTTCCTCGATCTTCTTCTCGATCTTTGGATGATCGAGTCGTCGTCTTGATCTGGCTCTCGTTCTGCATGGCGTCATTCACGTCCGTACTCCCGATCGATCACCTCTCTCGATCTTGGTCTCGATCCTTCCCCTTGCATCGACTCGGGTCACTCGATCTTCTGGTCGATCTCGTCTAGATCGACCTGCCTTGCTCGATCTGCTACTCGATCTCGGGTCCTTTGCATACGTGGCTGAGTTTTCCAAGTATCCACAAGCTTAGTCTCGATCCTCCTCACATCCACATAACCTCCACAACTCCAGAGTGCTCCAAACAACCTCATAATGATGCAAAAGTGCAAGAAATATGCAAAATGCGAATGCAAAGAGACCTAGGACCTAAAAATGCAACAAATGGAACAAACTAGCATATAATGCAAGATGAATGCATGAGAAACTATCCTAAATGCATGCAAAATATGCAGAATATATGGTAATATCAACTCCCCCAAACTTGCCTTTTGCTTGTCCTCAAGCAAACAAAATTCAAGGAAGGAAGAGAGGTTTGAAAGTGGAAGCTCAAAACGAAAGATGTCAATGGAAAAACCGATTCAACGCCCAAGTTATAAGTTGTAAGATGCAAAGAGGTTGTTCTAATTTAAAAGCTTTAGCCATACCCATCAAAGCAAGCAATGAACCCTAGCTTAGTCTACACAAGCATTCAAATCAACCAACTCCTTAACATTCATTAAGCGATAACCAATGGATCAAGTTTGTGCACATCAAGCGAAATCATTTGGTCAAAGGGATACGGTCATGAGATGAAAATGATCTTATTTTAAAAGAGGGGTTTAAAAATTCAGGGGATCACTCAATGAAAGAATCCTATCTTTGGCAAAATGCTAAAGGTAAATGCACACCTATGCATGCAAGTTAAAGCTCCCTTCTACCCATTTTACCTAAGATGATCCTAAAAACTTCTAAACCCCAAAGTTAACCCCTAAATCTACCCTTTCCCAAAGCGCTTGATCATCTTCACTCTTCACAAAGGGGGAAACTCCTTTTGGCTTTGCCGTGCGGTTGACTTCTTCTTTTTGAACTTTGCTCTTCATTGTTGAATGTTTGGCGCCGCTTTCATCACCTTTGGTGGATAGCTTGGTCTGATTTTTTTTCCTTTTGGTTGACCTCTTCTTAGCTTTGTTGCAGCTGGCGCCTTCTTTTTCTTTGACACTTAGAGCATTTTTATCTACTTTACTTAACCACAATTTACTTGCTCCCGCTTTGCTACTAATCCCATACTTCTTTCTTCTTTTTAAAAACATATAAACAAGAAACTCTTAAACTACTCAAATGGCCCTTTCCCCAAACTCCTAACCTAGTACCAAGCTCAAAATGCAAGCTGGTGTCTACAAGGGAGCTTTTCCTTGCCAGCCCTATTCCTAACACTTTTTGCTAAAATAGGATTGAAAATAATGCAATGAAAGGCCTCACTACTCTCGCAAAAGTGTTGATGTCTGAAAGAAGGTTTGGTTTAAGGCGTGGTTAACTGTCCCATTATGATGAGGATCAGCTACTTGGATTAACAAGAGTTGTAAGAAAGGAAGAAGATAATCCAAGTATGTATATGGGTAAGCCATGCAATCACTTTCAATGCACAAACAAGATAGTTCAATGTCAAGATTAAGGTTCTAATAAGATGGAGTTGGCATCAAATCAAAGCGAGTTTCAACATAAGACTAGAGTATCAAATGCAAGTAATCAAGGTATGGTGCAGCCTTAACTTTAAACTCACTAGATGCAATCAAACAACAAACAACCAAGGCATTGAAAACAATTCAAACATTGACATCTTAACAAGTGTTTATCATTTACTCCCTATGCAAATACAG